CATAGGTGCTATACTGCACCCTGGAATCGTCCCTTCCTTGTAACCCTTCTGTGGGGGGATGTCCAGTTGTCTACAGATGGGCTTTGGGTCTCCACTCCAATCCCCTCTTTAACATCGATACAATTGTTCATACTAGATCTTTTGATACCTGATCCCATCGACACCTCATGATCTCACAGGCTGGTGTGCTTCTTCCATGTGGGCTTATTTGCTTCCCTGCTACATGGCTGCTTGTTTAACTTCAAGCCTTGTATTTTTTATGGTGGTAAAATACATCCAGCATATAACCCACCATTTAAACCGTCTTCAAGTGGACAGTCCAGCTCGTGGCCTGCTCTTAGCATGTTGTGCAGCCATCACCGTGATTTCCTCCAAAACTGTGATCACACCCACACAGAAACGCTGCCCCACCCAGACAAGTCCCTGTTCCCCCTACCCAAGCCCAGCTCATGGTGACCACTGGGCTATTTTCTGGTTCTGTGCATTTGTCTGTTCTAGGTCCTGCACAGCAGGGCATCAGGCATGGTGTGTCTTCTTGATGTCACCCGTTACAATGCTTTCAAGGCTCATGCAGGTGGGAGCTGTGCTAGACCTCCAGTCCTTTGCATGGTGGAATGAAAGGCCGCACTTTATGAATCCTTCATTCGTGCACTGATGGGGGACTTGCTTGTTCACCTTTGTGACTCTTGAAAATAATGCTGCAGTGGGTATGGGTGAGCCCAGCCGTGTCTCTGGTTGGTTGTATCCCCAGGAGTCCAGGAGTGCCTCATATTTGGGGTACATTTTGGGGAGGGGTGTGTATTCTTGAAGCCTTCCAGGTCTTCTCCAAAGTATCCCCTCAAGTCACCCTCATGACACAGTACTGGACACCGGACTCTTGAATGACCGGGACATGATTCCAATAGGCAATTGCGAATGCAAAAATTACTCGAGATTTTATAATCTGATGATAATACAATGAAGTGTGGGTTTTGCATTTGCTCTTATTTCCCAGTAGCTACACAGTGTCTGGTGCCGAGAGGGTGAGCTTAAAAAAAAAAAGACACTTCCAGCTGGTATTTTGAAGAGACTTACGGATGTTCTGTATCTTAAAGAATAGTCTCGCTGCTTCTCGGCTTTTTGGCAAGATCAAGAAGAGTCTCTGAGACCCAAAGAGCTATCGCCGTGGTTCTGTCTTCCTGATGCAGAAACCCTTTAATACGGTTCCTCATGTTGTGGTGACACCCCCCCCTCCAACCATAAATTTATTTTTGTTGTTACTTCATAACCCTAATTTTACTACTCTTATGACTCGAATGACCCCTGTGAAAGGGTTGTTTGATCCCCAAAGGGGTTGAGACCCACAGGTTGAGAACTGCTGTTCTTTTTTGTTTGTTTGTTTTTCCTTTTTTTGCTTATTAGGGGCTCATACAACTCTTATCACAATCCATACATAGATGAATTGTGTAAAGCACATTTGTACATTCATTGCCCTCATCATTCTCAAAACATTTGCTCTCCACTTAAGCCCTGGCATCAGCTCCTCATTTTTTCCCCTCTCTCCCCACTCCCCCCTCCCTCATGAACCCTTGATAATTTATAAGTTATTATTTTATCATATCTTGCCCTGTCCGACATCTCCCTTCACCCACTTTTCTGTTGTCCGTCCCCCAGGGAGGAGGCCACATGTAGATCCTTGTAATCGGTTCCCCCTTTTCAACCCACCTTCCCTCTACCCTCCCAGTATCACCACTCACACCACTGGTCCTGAAGGGATCGTTCACCCTGGAATCCCTGTGTTTCCAGTTCCTATCTGTACCAGTATACATCCTCTGGTCTAGCCAGACTTGCAAGGTAGAATTGGGGTCATGATACGGAGGCGGGGTGGAGGGGGGGAAGCATTTGGGAACTAGAGGAAAGTTGTATTTTTCATCGTTGCTACATCACACCCTGACTGGCTCATCTCCTCCCTGAAACCCTTCTGTAAGGGGATGTCCAGTGGCCTACAAATGGGCTTTGGGTCTCTGCTTTGAACTACCCTCCTCATTCACTATGGTAAGATTTTTTTGTTCTGATGATGCCTGATACCTGATCCCTTTGACACCTGGTGATCACACCGGCTGGTGTGCTTCTTCCATGTGGGCTTTGTTGCTTCTAAGCTAGATGGCTGCTTGTTTACCTTCAAGCCTTTAAGACCCCAGATGCTTTATCTTTTGACAGCTGGCACCATCAGCTTTCTTCACCACATTTGCTTATGCACCCATTTGTCTTCAGCGATCGTATCTGGGAGGTGAGCACATAATGATATGATTTTTTTGTTCTTTGATGCCTGATACCTGATCCCTTCGGCACCTCGTGATCACACAGGCTGGTGTGCTTCTTCCATGTGGGCTTTGTTGCTTCTGAGCTAGATGGCCGCTTGTTGACCTGAGAACTGCTGTTCTTTCAAGAGGTTCAACCTGAAGTTGAGTTGAGTGACCTGGGAAGAGACAGCCTGGAGAGAAGGGCTGTGGGCTACAGACGCGGGGAGAACTGCTCAAGGATTCAGAGAAGGGTGGATGGGGAGAAAACATGCAAACAACAACGCCCCGGGGGAGCAACAAGCAGGCAAGCAAACAGAAGGCAAAGCGAAAGCAACCCTTGGACCCAAAGGTGCTGCAACTCGGAAACCTGCACTGCTTTGGAGAGTGGTGCTTCTCAGTTTGGTGGGCGGGGCCTCTGCATTTTGGACACCGGCAGGGCAGCATTTTATGCTGTACTATAGGAGCCTGGTGGTGTAGTGGTTATGAGGAACTTGATGACGTGCTGTCTGATTAGAGACCCTATATTCGCTGGAGCACTGTGTCTACTGGCTGATCCGAAAGGGAAGTTGAAACGGACTCAGTTTTCTCAGACTCTGTGGTGCCCTGGTGGTGTAAAGGTTACTCACTGGGCTGTGATCCACAGGGTTGGCTGTTCAAAACCACCAGCAGTTAGAAACCAACTTGGGAGAAAGACTGGACTCTCTACTCCTGTAAACGGTTACCGTCTTGGAAACCCACAGGAGGTCACTGTGAGTTAGCACTGACTTGAGGCTGTGAGTTTGAAGTCTGTCCACTCAAAAGAAGTTCTGCTGCTAAATGCCAGGGTGCTGAACCCACTAGTAGTTTAAACCCACTAGTATCTCTGTGGCAGAAAGACGTGGCAGTCTGTCTCATTAAAGATTTACAGCCTTGGGACCCCTGGGGGTGGCTCTACTGTGTCCTACAGGGGAGTCTATGAGTCAGAGTTAAGTCGATGGCAATCAGTAATGGGTACATCCTTTCAAAGCACAGTAAAAAACAAACAAACAAACAAACAAACAAACAACTATTTCAGCGAGTTGCCCCAGTTCGTCCGGGGTACAACTGGGCTCCATTGGGCAGAGAAGGTGGAGCCTGCAGTCACAGGTGCTT